GTGAGTGAGGAGCAGATTCGTCTGCAGCACGAGGCACTGAATGAGGCCTTCAACCGCTACAATATCAGCTGGCAGCTGAGCGTCCACCAGGTCCGCAATTCTACCCTGCGACACCGGGTTGTGCTTGTGAACTGTGAGCCCAGCAAGATTGGAAACGACCATTGCGACCCCGAGTGTGAGCACCCACTCACAGGCTATGATGGGGGTGACTGCCGCCGGCAGGGCCGCTGCTACTCCTGGAACCGCAGGGATGGGCTCTGTCACGCGGACTGCAACAACATGCTGAACGACTTTGACGACGGGGACTGCTGCGACCCCCAGGTGGCTGACGTGCGCAAGACCTGCTTTGACCCTGACTCACCCCAGAGGTAAGGGATTGGGGTTTGGGGTGGCCTACTTGTAGGGTGCATTTCTAACATCATTTTATCCTTTGATTTTGGAGACAAACGTGTTCACACAGTCCCTGAATAAAACATTAATCCACCCCATCAGACAGTATTAATCTTTTGTGAAATGCTAGGTGTTCTGTTATGTAATTAGGGACACAGATGACTGAGACAAGAGACAGCCCTCACAGAACTCATTATTTGTGGGGCAGAAAGTTGTGTACACAGTGCGAAGTGCACCCAAGAGCATATGCACCAGGTACTTGGGCACAGAGAAACTGAACAACTTACTTTACCAGAGGAGGCCAGGATATCTTCATGGAGAACAAACGAGGTATCCAGGCATAGAAACGAATCAGTACTAATTACACATGATGACACTTCCTATTGTCTTAGGGTCTTGGCAAAGTAATATAAATCTGTGAAAAGGCCTTACGTCTGTTTACTCTCTGGTGCTGAGCGGTTTCGTAAAGACAGACATGCTACATCTAGCCACTAGTCTCCTTTAGGTGACTGGGATATTTCACTGTTGCCCCATTAAATTCCATTCTTCATGCAGCATCCAGAAGGATCTTTTGAAAAAGGTAAGTCAGATCCTGTCATTTCCCTTCTTAAGATTTTTTCCTCCACTGCGCTCAGAATAAAATCTGAACCCCCTACCTGACACACAGGCTCTTAATGCAATCTGGCCCCTGTCTACCTCTCCATCCTCACCCACATAGCACAGCCTCACTGACTTGATTCTGTTCCATTGAACAGACCAAGCTTTCTTCCTGCCCCTAGGGCTTTGCATTTGCTGTTCCATCTTCTTGGAATCCTCTTTTCCTTAATCTTCCTTTGGTGGGTTCTCCCGTCATTCAAATATCTGCTTAGATACTACCACCTGGGAGGCCTTTTCTAATCCCTCAGATTAAAGCATCTATCAATTACTATTACATCAACTAATTAAAATTTCCTGTTTAACACTTAGTATTTCTGATAATTTTTCTTTCACATTCATGTGTTTGTCTGTTTTTCTCCTATTTGGAATATCAGCTCCGTGAGATCAGGACCCTTGTTTATTCTGTTAACCACTATATTCCCAATGCCTAGAATAGTAGCTGATGTTTAGTTGTTTAAGTTGATGAATGAATGGTTCTCCTGTGTCTCTTGTTCTGAGACAGAAGCCAGTAAGATTCTCATTTGATGGCTGATGTAGGGGTTGGACATAATAGAGGAGGGTAAGGAAGTAGGTAGGTAGCCATTGAACTTGTTAATATGTGTATGTGGAAAAAGCATCCCCAGTGCACAACTGATGCCTTTGTTCAAATTATGAAAAGGCTTACCTGAGCCAGGGTATAGGGCTGGTGGGAGGTGAGGAAACAGGATATCCGCTCCCACCAGATGTCTTGAAAGCTGCCTTTGTGTTGGACACAATTTGTACAAGTAGTTCATGGTATCCCTGGGTGTGGGGAGTCCTCTTGGTGTGAATTACCACTAATAGACTAGCTTGTACTTCAAGCATGTGGTGTTAAAAATTGAGTATGTGATTCAGAATGAAGGGTTCCAAATGGTTAAATTTTGGAGTCTTTCCTATTTAACTAGGTTTGTAAGTTATGCAAGTCACTTTTAGAAACTCAGAAGTCTTGTCGATAAAATGAGGATGGCAGTAATACCTTGCATTTTCAGTATTTTCAGGTTATTTTGTGAATCAAATGAAATAAAGTATAAGAAAGTAGCTCTAAAGTTCTCAATGTATACAAATAGTTCTAAAATAACATTAATTCGGCCAGGCACGTTGGTTTATGCCTGTAATTCCAGCATTTTGGGAGGCCGAGACAGGTGGATCACAAGGTCAGGAGATTGAGACCATCCTTACAAATGTAGTAAAACCCCATATCTACTAAAAACACAAAAAATTAGCCAGGCGTGGTGGCACACACCTTTAGTCCCAGCCACTGGGGAGGCTGAGTCAGAAGAATCACTTGAACCCAGAAGGTGGATGTTGCAGTGAGCAGAGGTCATGCCACTGCACTCCAGCCTGGGAGACAGAGAAAGACTCCATCTCAAAAAAAAAATTCGTATTATTCTTCCATTATTATTATTATTATTAAAGCTGACAGACGGGAAGCCTTTATTTACATAATAATTAAAAGACAACTAATCAAATGATCAGAACTATTTGTATAAGAAAATTCTGTTTGGAACAATGAGAACACATGGACACAGGGAGAGGAACATCACAGACCGGGGCCTGTTGGGGTGTGAGGGGATAGGGGATGAATAGCATTAGGAGAAATACCTGTTGTAGATAACTGGTTGATGGGTGCAGCAAATCACCATGGCACATGTATACTTGTGTAACAAATCTGCATGTTCTGCACATGTGTCCCAGAACTTAAAGTGTAATTTTAAAAAATTCTGTTTGGGTTTGGTTTTTAGATTTTGGTAACCTTAAGCAGAAACTAAACATCACTAACAGCAGTGGTTAGCAACACTTAGGATCCCCTGGAGAAATGAGAAAGTCTGGTCTCCTAGTTTATAGTAATAATTCACTGCCCTGTCTGAGAGAGCTGTCTTTCAAGGTACCCAGGTACTATTCTCCTCAGAATTTCCCTTTGTTTCTCTAAATTCCTACCACATTGCCCTTATCTGGGTGTTTATAACGTACTCACTTCACTGCCTGCAGAAGGGAAACTCACTCCTTCTATTTATAGACCCAGTAGTGTTTTGAACCTTTATTCCTAAGTGACTCTCTTACCCCCACATATAAAACCTGCTTTGTGGAATACAAAGGAAATATTTATACTTTATGATAGTTAAAAATACTAACTCAAAGTAAAAAGTGCTCATGGTTTAAAATATCAAATTATATCAAAAGGCAGAAGGAAGAAGATCAATCCCCTGCCTAACTCTTCCCCATCCTTCTTCACACTCTGTGCTTGGTCCACACAGATTACTATATTTATTTTTTTACCTGTTTTTTTTTTCCTGGTAGTTTCCTGTATCTCTCCAAATATTATTTATATTGCTCATAAATTTTAAACATTATCTGTTGACTTCTTATGATAGAGATGAGACTAACTCTCTTACATTATCTCCTTCCTTGTCCTTGCATTCTTCCATATAATTATTTTACTATTTTTTGTTGAATTAATTGTATGTATTATAGCAGTATGACTGTGAAATGTTATTTGTTGCAGAAAAAAGTACTAGTCTATTATCATATTTGTTTTCTTGCACAGCTTCTTCCCATCCCCAGCCCAACCTGTTGAGTATCTATTTCCTTCTTTCCTTCTTTTATTCTTTCTTGATATTCTCGATTGTTTTCAAATACTTTATTTTACCGGCTAATTTGTAGACAATATTTATAAACATGTTCCCCTCCTCTAAGCTGTTCTAACACTAAATAAAATTCTTCTTCTTCACCTTCCAAAAAACATTTTTTTTTTTAACACTCTTCTAGAGCGCTTCCTTCTAGTTATTTCTATTTTCCTCTTCCAATCTTGGCCAGTTATCTTTAGGTCTGCTGCACAATTGTCATCCTGGGACTTCTCTTCACTGCCTTTTTTGGGCTAGAGCCACTGTGTCCTGAATTACATGAAAATCTCTTAATTTACTACCTTGTTTTTCTGGAAAGAATCCTCAAGTAAGTTTCTAAGAAAAGATGTTTTAGATAATCTTTTCTGAAAATGCACTTCTTAGAATGTTTTTATTCTGCCTTCATACAAAACTGAAAGTTTGTTTGGTGTAAAATTTTGAATTGAAAAACAGTTTCTCTGAAACTTGTGAAGAAATTTGTTAATTGCTTCTAGCTTCTGTTCCGATAATTGTGTGTATTTTTATACGTATGTGTGTATACATACATACACACATGTGTATGTGTGTGTATATATATAAATATGTATTTATAGAATGTTTTAGAATCTTGTTCTTAGCCTTGTTACTCTAGGGATTTGTAAGATTACTTTTTAGAACTTGCCTTTTATTGTTCTTTTGTTGAACACTGTTCAATTCGGACCCTTATGCCCCTTATCTCTGGAAAAATCTCTTAAATTATTACTTTATTTCTCCATTCAGTTTTCTCTGTCCTCTTTGTTATCCCTGATACTCCTGGGGATGCATCTACTGAACTTACTCTCTGTTTCTTTCCTCTCCTACATTTTGTTAGTTTACTCTTCTCCCCTTTTTTTTGTTTTTGAGATTTTTTTTTAGTCTATCTTTCAATGCTCTATTTACTTTTTCATTTTAGTAATCAAGCTTTTAAAACCCTTTTATTCTTTGATTGTTTTTAATGTAATCCTTAAAAAATTTTAAGATAAACATTTTCAAAGATAAAAATGTGATTCATTTGGAATTTTGTGTGTGTGTGTGTGTTATATCTGATGCATCTGAAGTCAACTTTTCTTTTTTTATGATTTTAAAAATTCATGACTATCTATGCTGGTGACTTTCCTTGAATGTCTAATGCTTGTTCACAGTAGAAACTATACTTTTAAATCTCTACCTATGATGATCTAAAAATGAATAATTACTGCTGAATTGTCTCTTTTTGAGAAAAAAAATTTGAAGACAGAAACATAGTGGAGGTGAGAGGTTTTCTTTTAGCTCAGCTCCCTTATACTTATTTCATGTATAGGTTTTTTTCTGCCTTCCCTCTCCTATTTTTTGTGCTGAGTTTTTATTATTAAAAATATTTTTATGACTCTTGGCAAGAGCAATATTTTGAAAAATGATTATTTATCAAGCTTCTATGTTGTGTCAGGCATGGAAGGAAGGCAGAGGAACACATATAAAGACTATGGAAAGAGTAAGTGCTAACAACTTAGAGAAGAAGTTCAGTAATTTTATCTAAATTCTCTATGTTTAAATCCAGGCTGAGGCATTAAAAGCAGAACATGGGGGATGGCTTTTCTTTACCATGGCTTGAATTGTTTGAAAGGACCTTTGATTCATAGAAATATAGATCTTTGGGTTTCCATGTGGTCCTGTGACTTGGTGGAATTAGTGGCTATCTCTGAACTAGATTAGCTTTGTAGATCCTCCTTATTATTACAATTAAATCACAGCGCTCAAGCTCACAATTCCATTATGCGGTGACTCTGAAACTGACAAGCGCTTTGCCCGGCATTTATTGAGCAGAGTGCTCCAGGCACAGAGTCTTTCTACTCACAGTGGAAGCACCAAAAGCTCACAGTTTAGGGGTCAGGGGAGAATGGTAGAAAGTGGTGGACAGACCTATAAACAGATCACTAACATTCAAATACAAGGATTGATGTATGCATAACTCTCCTCACTTCACAAATACTGTTCAATCTTCCTGCTATGGTTTTAACTTGTCCTCCGAAGTTCATATGTTAGAAATGTAAACCCTAAAGCAACAGTGTTGAGAGGTGGAAGCTTTAAGAGATACTTAGGGCCAGGCACAGTGGCTCAAGCCTGTAATCCCAGCACTTTGGGAGGCTGAGGCAGGTCGGGAGTTCAAGACCAGCCTGACCAACATGGAAAAACCCATCTCTACTAAAAAATAGAGTTAGCTCGGCATGGTGGCATATGCCTGTTATCTTGTACTCAAGAGGCTGAGGCAGGAGAATCACTTGAACCTGGGAGATAGAGGTTGCCATGAGCCGAGATCGTGCCATTGCACTCCAGCCTGGGCAACATGAGTGAAACTCCATCTAAAAAAAAAAAAAGGATTAATGCTATTATCACAGGAGTGAGTGTCTGTTAAAAGGATGATTTTGCTCATGCCTGCTTTCTTGTACTTCTGTCTTCTGCCATGGGATTATGAAGCAAGAAGACCTTCACTAGATGCAGGCCCCTCGACCTTGGACTTTCCAGCCTCCAGAACTGTAGGAAATAAACCTCTCTTTTTCATAAATTACCCATTCTCATGTATTCTTTTATGGTAGCAAAAAACAAAGTAAGATGCATTCCCACCACCCCCAGCAAGAAACCAGAAATCTAGCCCAAAGTAGTTCCTCTCCCAGAGGTTCTGAGAAGAGAGCCTGATGAGTCCAGCATCAAACATCTGTAACACAGATGGGCCTGTCAAAGGGAGAGTACTTATCAGGCTCTGGACTGGTCAGGAGGAGATATGAATTACGATACATTACCCAGACAGTTGAACAGACTTACAAAGATAAAGGAACTTGGAACTAGTCAGGGCTACATAAGCCAGATGTCTATTTCTGCATAGTAGCTGCCCCAAGAGACAATCTGCAAGAGTTAAGGGAAGGAAGGGTGTCGAGTGTCTGCTTCCGTAAAATCACAAATGCCTTTGACTGTTATTCCCTGTGGTGCATACTACGGAGCTGAGCCCAAAGGAATTTCTGTACCCTCAGGGGAACTTGTCTTCCCTGACCTTTGCAGGCTGCAGCTTCTTTTTGGTTATGAATTGTTTCTGTCACACATCTCCCTAAAATTATGTCTCAGAGATAGGGTTCTTTCTTTGCTGCTGTGCCTACTTTCCATCCCATGCTTTCTCTCCTTTTCACTATAGAGTTCAGCTAAGTATTTCACTAAATCTGGAACTCTGCTTGTCTCTCTCTTTTGGTTTTTATATCTTCAGTCTCATAATATTGCTATAATGTGGAGAAATATCTCCAAATAAAAACAAATTGTGGAACAAGGCATCAATCATCTAGTCTGACCATGCTCTGAAGCAGACAATGGGATACCATACATTTATTGTCTGTATATTTGTTTCTGGAGGCTGTGATGAGCTAACATCTCTATATGTTGGCAACTCATTGGAGAGTTGAAGGGCAGGGGACTGTTATACATAACAATGCTTGCCCATGGCACACTTCCCTCTAAAGAGGTCCTCAAGAGGGTGGCTGGGAATTGTCCTGGGGGACATGGCAGAGAGTGGCGTCTGCAGGTGTACAGTAGAAAGGGCATATCTTGGGACAGGAAAGCAGAGGCACATGACATCAAAGGGAACAGGTGGAGACATTGGTGCCACACAGACCTGGATGCTTTGGATTAGTTGTGCTTTGCTCACCCACACTCGGAGGCTGTTGAGCCAAAGGCATGGTCAGGCTGGGCCCTTGCAGTGGCTGGTCTGTTAAACATCAACCAGGCTTCATTATAGGTTTCTTTTGAAGTAGAGATTCAAAGTTCCCTGAAGCCAAAAAAACACACACACGGAGAAAATAAGTGTAAGGGGTAGAAGAGGGCAGGAAGAAAAGGAGGATAAATTTTAAAACTAACAAGAAAATCTCCCAGTTCCCCCACTTCAAAATTCACAGATAGCAAACTCTAGAGCAAGTGTTACCTTCTCATACTCACGTCAACTGGCAATGGGAATAGAAGGAAAAAAGTATGAGATTCCATAGATAAGCACAGTAAGTTTACCTACAAATAGAAACATCTCCTGTTTATTTTCCTACAAGCCAGTTTCTCCACAGTTCTAATAGGCACCGTATTACGGAGCAAATAAAATCCAGTTTTTGGGTTTTTTTTTTTCTGTTCACCTGACTTAGTGGACTTTCCTCCTCAGATGAGTGGGTGGGGGAAGCTGTTTTTCTCCTTTTCATAGTTTATTTTCTAGCCAGATAGACAGACTTGTGAGTGAGCCAGGTGGTCTGTCTAGGTTAAAAATATTTCCTTTTAGAAATTTTTCAGGAGAGACCCCAGTCTCCAACCACACTCAGTTGTTCAAAATACTTCAGCTTTTTCCTAGGAGTTGGGGTGCCTTGGTGCCTTGGCCAGATGCCAGTCTGTCTCAGATGATTTCACTTAGAGGTTCCTTCCTAGAATTTAAGCCTAAGAGTTTGAAAGACAGCTGCAGCCTTACACATTTTTTTTTCTATTTTCTTTTTCTTGAACTCTTGTTTTTAATTACGTCAGTGACTGGATATAAATGAAATCTTGTTGGTAGGTCTTCCCCTAACCAGACCCTTATTCCCTTGATGTCAGAATTGTATTGTGGGCAGTGGGTGGGACATATAGTTAGTGTGGCCATCAGGGATTTTTCTGAGGTTCCATCAGAGCACCACCCTCTGGAGGAAGCTGCTCATCTATTATTAATTTCCTCAGCATCAAGGTTTATCTCACTTCTTACTGGGAGTGCTGTCCAGTGGTTGTGGATCTGATTTCCAGAGCCAAACACTTAGATCACTACTGCTTTTCCTTCAAGTCCCAGTTAGGATGTCCCTTCCTCCTTATTGGGGCATTCTGTTGTCCTCAAAAGCAAATTAGCTACCTCATTTGTGTCACTTCTCATTCTCCTATAGCCACTACCCTAATCCAGGCCCCTGTCTTCACTCACCTGGATTATTACAATAGTCTTTTAACTGGTCTTCAACCTTTGCCCTTGCACTGTTGCCCAAGTCTACTTTTAACATAGCAATCAGAGTAATTCTATTAGGTTATAACTCAGATCAAGTCATTCCTCTCCCTGTAATTCTCCAGCAGCTTACCAGCTTATTCAGAGTCAAAGCCAACAGCATGACTGATTTATAGGGTCATATAGCATCAGTCATTTCTATGGCCTCACCTTTTACCATGCTCCTTATTGCACTCCAGCCACACTGGACTTCTGATTTGCCAGACTTACTCCTATTGCATGACATTTTTAGTGACTTTTCACTTTTCTGGAATATTCTTCCTCCAGATTTCTTCATGGCTAACTATCCCACTTTCTTCTGGTCTTTTTTCAAAGTAACTTTCTGGATGAGACTGCCCCTGGAGACCTCATGTAACACCATACATACTCCCTTGGCTCTGTGGTTTCTTGCCCTGCTTTATTTTTCTTTTTAGAATTTATCACAAACATTCTATTTTGTTTATTTTGCTTAATATTCATCTTCTCTACTAGAAAGGAAATTCTACCAGGGAGGGGGTTTTTATATGTTTGGGTGACTATAATACTCTAGCACCTAGAATAGGAACAGGAACAGACTAAGCATTCAATAAATAATTGTTAAAGAAAGGAATGTTCTTAGTCTAGTACAGTGGTTGGCAAACTATGAACCATGGACCAAATCTGGGCTACCACGTGTTTTTGTAAATAAAATTATTTTGGAATACAGTTGCACTTACGTGTTTACATATTGTCTATGGCTACTTTCATGTGGCAGAGTTGTGCAGTTAAAACAAAGACCATGTGCCCCACAAAGCCTAAAATATTTACTATCTGGCCCTTTATGAAAAAAATTGCCAACCCCTGCTTAAATACATCTTTAGCATACCTTACTGTAACTTCTCATTCTTGTCTGTCTGTTGCACAAGACTTTAGTTTCTTTGTTCATAGTTCTTGATACACATGTGATATTTAAAAACTGAATTAAGGTATATAAATATAAATCTATGTAAATGGAAAACCAATGACATGGGGAAATGACAATATAGAGCAAGGGTTTTAGTCGGGTAAAAATGTATAGGCAGAGTATACTACTATGTATGGAAAAAGAACAGTATTCAGAATCTACACTCTAGTAAGCTTTTCTATGGGTCTCATCACTGTGGTAGCATTGCGCCATTCAGAAGTAAGTAAACTAACTGAGGATGCTCATGGAAGTGTGAACATGTTAGCTAAGGAGGGAATGGCTTTAAGCCATTTTCTTCATTAACTTGTTATTTGAGTAGCTGGGCCCCCAAAAGCCTGAAACATGGAGTAAATTTTGATGAGCATAAAAATA